GGGGGGGGCAGGGGAAAGCAGAAAAAGGAAAGGCGGAGGGGATAATACATCCCAAGCATTGCTAATAGTGGGTCATTCACTGACTCAAGAGACAAGCAGCAAATAGATCCATATGGGAGTATTATTCATATGCAAAACATTCCATGGATGTGTTCCAAAAAGTAATCTAGATATAACCATATATGAAAATCAGTATGAAATGTCCACATTCTAAAAAAGTATAACAATATCCAGCATCTCATTTCCAAACCATTACCTGGTAATCCCATCCAAGGTAAGGTGTAAGGAAAATGCAACACCGGACAATTATTGCATAATGTAAATACGTGCCTTTCAATGTCCAATGTCTCATATGTGTCAGTACACAAAATCTTTTAAGTGTGGCTCCTGCAATCACATAACACATAGCCATGCTTAGTAATGCCCCAATAACTACTCCATCCATCAAACACCATATCTAAAGCCACTAGATCGCATCAACTGCTCACTGCGTGTGCCTCCCTAATGGTACCAAAAGTGGCATACGGTGGGGAGCTTAAATGATGTCATCAAACAGGGACAGCAACCAGGTAATCCACAGGGCGGATGTAAACCGCCCATCCAAGCGGTAATCGTGCATTGCACATGTGCCCACACACAGCATATCTGCCCAGACGAGCCAATGGGCGGAAGTGCAACCTATCTGCAATGAGAGCGCGCATAGCGCATGCGGCTCTCCTCAGTAGGTCACGTAGCCCCACCATCTAATGCCTATAGAACACAGCAATAGACCGCATCCAAACAGCGGCAAACAACAGCTAAACTGAGCAAATACCCGGCAACCACCACCTCAGCTCCACCACCTCGGGAGACCCTGGACCCGAACAGCCCCATCTCCTCTCCAGATGTCATCCATAGCCAGGGCCCCCCATTATGCATATAGACTACCAATACCATAAATAAAAAATAAATACTAAATAATTATATTCCCCATCTGCCCAATTGTATTGCAACCCTGATGGTGAAGGAGCAGAGGGCATGAGCCCCCACCCAAGCCAGACCATTAATGAAAGCCACAGCCCACCCAACACCATCACATGACATATGTCACACAATGTGGAGAACCGTTAAATACAAACATAGAAAAATAAAAACAAATATGAATACAGCCCCATATAGAAACTTCTCATATACTGGCCATATAGTATCAGCACAGACAGACAGCATGAAATACATCAATCTCATATCATAATAGCCTTGGAAAGTCAATATTTGTTCCCCAGAAGAGTATGCCATCTATCTGGGTGGTCCAACTCTAGCACTTCTTACAAAAAAAAAAAAAATGTATAACTTAATGCCTCATACAGGCCTGGAGGGCTGTATCATATCTGTATTATTTATGACCATGTTTCAGGGCCACATATCTCCCAATGGGTGCGTACAAGATTCTTCTAATATAGTAAAACGTGGTCATATATCCTTTTCCAAATATTTCCAATGGTTTTACCCACATAAAAGGCACCACATTTACATAACATAATATACACCACGCCTTTTGTTTGACAGTCTACAAAATTGCCTAGTCCTGTGTATCACCCCATTGGGTAAGGGTATAGATGTCCCCTCTAGGATCCAAGCACAATAATCACATGATCCACATTTGAAAGTACCCTTTCGATCCTTGATATTAGATGGCAGGTCATGAAAATGACTCCTATTCAAACAATCCTTGAGTGATTTGGATCTTTTAAATGTGATTTTGGGACAGTCCTCGATATATTTATTTAAGATAGGGTCATCAGTCAATATATGGCAATGCTTTTGTATGACACATGCAGTCCAGTATAATATATTGTAGTAATGGTCGCAATCCTATAGTATGGGCAATCTGACACTGACTTAACGGCATATGGCTGAAAAACAGTCTGCAGAATCAGCCACCATGCCCTTCCTCAGACAGTCTATGAGCACAAAGAGTTGGATATCTGAAAGGAGGCCATAGCAGACAAATATACCTGAATCGCCCAGACCACATCCAAGGTGTGCAACACCACTTCCTTAGGAAGGGCCACTGAAAAAAATATATAGCCAGTGCAGAGATTTGACCATTAATAGTACGCAGCACAAGCTTATGATCAATGCATCATTGGAGAAAGGCCAACACCTAAGCCACCAAAAAGGAATGCAGATGAACCCCCAGACCCTCAGACCAGGTGATATAAGCCTTCCAGGTGTTCGGCTATACTTTCCGAGAAGTAGACCTGCAAGCCTTCATTATAGTGCAGTGCACCAAACTGGACAATCCCCTGTCCTTCAGAATCTGGATTTCAATAGCCATGCCATCAAGGCCAAATATGGTAAAGCAGGGTGGGAGACTCGAACCTAGGACAGAAGATCCTCCTGAAGAGACAGCCACCAGGGAGCTTTTGCAACCAGCTACACCATGTCTGCATACAACGGGGGCAGAGGCCAACCCGGGAGCACCAGAAAGACCTGGTTCCCTTTGGCCGCTATTATGCAG